AAACACAAAACAAAGACCGATTTTTATTTAAACAAACTGGAAAACTACATTTCTTCTCTTTCACTACCTTCCTTCCTCCTCTGTCTGTGTTGGCTGTGCAGCTGCAGCACCAAGTGCAAAGTTTGAACAAAGATTTAGATTACACAGATCTCCTTCCGGTTCCACAGGGCTGGTGGAAGGACTCTTAATGGATCGGCCCGTCTTGTGTCCACATGGCGCCTTTTATCTGGCAGCTTCAGCGTTTCAACGGAAAACGGATTAGAGGCCTTTTGAAGATGAATGTTTCTAAGACAACAATACCTTGACAACATATGTCACCGTTGTATGACAGACGAGCATCGCCCCTTTGCTGTTTATCTATTTGGGTTACTATCTATTCACCGAGAGCATCAAACGGAGGATGTCTGCTTCAGATAGATGAGCTCGTCACCGCTCAATCTGACAGCCGTGACGCTGGAGCAAGGAGAGACGAGGCACCATTCAGTGTCCGATGTCGAACACATAAAGTCTACGATCAACAGACACGGCTCAGAAACAAGGCGCTGTGTGGACACAGGCCCAAATATAAGATGAGATATCCTCAAGTGTCCTCCAGACATTGTGCTGCACAGCTTATAACCACACACAGCCAACACAACAGTGCATCGATGCACCACAGAGAGCATCGTAGAAGCCTTAGAGACAGAGTGCATGAACCAGCAGCTCCTTCCTGAACACTAACGAGGTCTAACCTGTTCTTTTATTACTGTGCTTTTGCTGTGGTGGTAATTTAACCGTCCACTTACTCACACTTTATGCAGCACGTTGTGTAGTTTCCTACTCTGAGACTGTAGCTTGAGTAAGAAGACGTGCATTAGTGGCTGCAGGTGTCCAGACCAATCACAGCGCTGAGGTTAGATCTGACCTGGAAGCTGCTGCTGGAGGACAACGTCTCAGCGCTGCAGAATGTTTCTGTATCAATGTGCACCATCGTGATGGTAAACTTACATGTGTGTATGCACACAGGTGTGTGTGTGTTCCCTTTGTTACTGCGTGATGAATTGCCATCTTTAGCAGAAGGTCTTTCCCATATTTTACGCTGCCACATCCAAATGATACTAGAATGGAAATTTGCAAACAGCAGCGTAGCGTTCTCATTATCACGGCGACAGTGAAGCGCCTCGCTGAGGCTGAGAGGAGGAGCAGTGATGTCAGCCAGGATTGACAGATTGACAGCTGTGAGAATGGAGGGGCTCCTCGAAGGAACCCCAGGGAGCAGCTCCTCTCAATTATGAATGAACGGGCTGAAGCTTTACCTCCCTCCACATCTGCAGAGCGCTCTCACTCTCGCTCACTCTCTCACGCTCATGCTTACTCTCATGCTCACTCACTCTCTCATGCTCAC